AAGTTGCTGGGGGTTATGCAGGCTGAAACTGTGATTTGTACCACAAAGGCACAGGTCCCTGACTGATGACGGGGTTGTGTCTGTGAGCCCTGGACTGAAGATAGAGGCCTTTGGGCTTTGCCTGGCATTGGGACTCACTGCAGAAGGCCCAACTCTGGGCTTCCAGACAAAGCCCTAAGTTCACTTCCCCACCCTGCTACCCAGTTGCTGGAGTCTTGCTCCACTATCTGCTGGAGGAAGGGTGGCAAAAGTGGACCCTTTTCCAGAATTTCCATAGGCAGGTACTAGCTAAGGGTCAGAGGCCATGAAGGTCCTGTCCAACTTTAGGTTTCACCATAGCAGGCCTGGCGTTGGGTTTCAGGTCTAAGGTCTGGTCTTTATTCTCTCTCACTACTCAAGAGGAAAGTGTCTCTCTCCATGTTTTGCTACCAAGAGTTGGGGTCGGGGTGATATGGTACCTGTTTCCTTCTGCCTTCTTCAATGCATCTTTTATTATTATTATACTAAAACTAGGCACTGTGGTCTGTTACTTGGATTCCTTGGCTCTTATGAAGGTGATTTGTTGTGTGACTAGCTGCTCAAATTGGTGTCTCTGTGGGAGATCCTTGGAGTCTCTTACTCAGTCATTATTTTGTTCCGCCTTCAAATAATTTTAATTTTATTTGTTATGTTAGGTGCAAAGTGGTGGTTATTGTGATTTTATTTTATACATCCTTAATTATTAGTGTATTGATCTAAGTCAAGTTAGGAAAAAAAAGACTCTTGATTTTAACAGGAAAATTTTAATGTAAAGAGGTGTTAACTGTGTTAGCAATTGGGAATAATGAGAGATTAGTTAGTGAGAACTGAAGAGAACGCTGAAGAGTATAGAAATATTAGGTATAAAGAGCATCCACTACTGCTTTTATGACTGAGATACAATGCCTAAGTGAAGGCCACTTCCTGCTTCTAGCCAGATATCTATACATCTCTTGGAGGACATGACTGGCTGTAGGTTTATGAATGGCAGAGAAGTTTTCTTTGGGGTTGTTGTTGGTAGTACTTGCTCAGTATCTGCGTACTGGAACTTTGCCTAAAACCACTATATAGGATGCCCAGGGAAAGCTGTCAGTGTGTCTCCTGTGGGCACTTTTCTGTGAATTTTCCTGAGGGACAGTGTTGGTGGAAGTGGCTGGGTGCTGGGTGCTGGTGGGTCCCATGTAAGAGTCTGTGTAAGAGAAGCCACACAGACTTCAAGAGCTGTTGACAAAGCATGCTGCTTTAATGTCTTGGATCTAGCAAAGGAAAAGTATTTGAAGGGCTCAGATCTTTTTTCAGAGTAGGCAAATAGGGGAAATTGGAGTTGAGAGGTAATAGATGGATAACTGGCCCTTTGTTCTCTTTAATGATTCAGCTTCCATAAGCAACTTTTTAAACATATTTGAATGCTCCAACAACAACCAAACAACACTGTGTCTACCTGAGAAGATAGACTTCCTGCATGTGAAGTTCTTGTCTTTTCTCTGAAGAAAAACTCAGTCTCCAAAGTCATTGTTTTCATCATTTTTTAATAACTCATATTCATCCAGTCACACTGAAAATTCTGTTGCCTGAACACTAAATTATAAAGTTAACTTCCAACAGCTTGTATACAAAAGAAAAAAGTGAAAGAATATACATTTAATAAGCAAACTGAGAGTATGCAAAGCTATTGTAATCCTTGTTTTTATAAAACCATAATTGATAATTTGTGGTTTTAACCTTCTACCTATTCCCTATTTCCCCTGCTCTGAAGCTAGAATCTCGGCTTTTGGAATTTTATCGTGAAGGATTGATTTCTTAAATATTCTGCTGTAGTTTGGTTATCTTCTATGGACCTATCTTCTAGGTCTTTCATACTTTTTTCAACTATGTTTAATTTGTGGTTAAACTTGTTTGTTGAATCCTCAGTTTTGATTATTGCTTTTAATACAAGAATTTCTATCATTTCTTTCAAATATGCTATTACTTTTCATAGTTTGAATTAACTGCCAACATTTTAAATCTTCTTTTTTAACTTAATAAGCATATTTGTTTTATAGAGTATATCTAATAATATCAATAATTGGAGTATCTTTGAGTCTGTTCCTATTGTCAGTTACAGTGTCTTATTTTTTGCATTTTGTCATGCATAATTATCATTGTGCTAGATATTTTATTTGAAAAATTATTCATTGAAGTAGTTTGAGGGCTGTATTGGTATTATCTTTCTTTATAGAGCATGGATCTTCTATTAGGAGCCTTGGCAGATGAGCAGTTGCAGGCTGCTGAGGCTGATTTTAAGGCTTGGAATTTTCTGCTACCCAGATGACTTGTAGCAAGACTACTGCAGTCTAGCTAAGGGCTGGTTTATTTCTGTACATCCTTACCTTAATAAAGTTAAGGTGTTCCAAGTCAAACTGCCATGCCGTTTGTTTCCACACCTTTTGTGGGCCATTAACTCTGACTTTGTCCCTCTTCTATTCTGAGGCTTCCAAACACATCCCACCCAACTGGAAAAGCCTGATAGGCGTCTGTCTCAGCAGAGCAAAGCAGCTTTGAATGCCTTGCTTCTCTTAAAGAATTTGTCACTTCTGGATTTCAGCTTTTATCATTTTATTATTTATAAGATGTGTTTAAAATTTAAAAAATTGTTCCTCAGCCTATCAAGTTGTCTTCAGTGGGGAGTTTTTCTAAATTACCTTGTCCAGTATTATTGGAAGTGAATAATCAGGGCAAATTAATTACCCTGTGCTTCAGTTTTGTTATCTGTGATATAAGATTACTAATTACTCACTATCTCACAGGGTTTTTGAGATTTTTTAATTAGGTAACATATTATATGTACTCACAGTAGCGGCAGGCACTTAGAAAATGCTCATTTTAGGCTGGTGCCGCGGCTCACTAGGCTAATCCTCCACCTGCGGTGCCGACACCCCAAGTTCTAGTTCCGGTCGGGGTGCCGGATTCTGTCCCAGTTGCTGCTCTTCCAGTCCAGCTCTCTGCTGTGGCCCTGGAGAGCAGTGGAGGATGGCCCAAGTCCTTGGGCCCTGCACCCTCATGGGAGACCAGGAGGAAGCACCTGGCTCCTGGCTTCAGATAGGCGTATCGCCTTTGCCACTTGAGGGGTGAACCAACAGCAAAGGAAGACCTTTCTCTCTGTCTCTCTCTCTCTCACTGTCCACTCTGTCAAAAAAAAAAAAGCTTTATTAACACTAATTTAAGAACATAGGAGTTTGCCTATTCTTCAGAAATTTTCCAAGCATGAAATAAACCCTTTATTATAAAACCCAAGTAGTTAGCAGAGATTATGAAATATGTACAAATGATATTAATATTTTCTGTCAACTCTGATATAGGAAAATGAAAATTTCCCCCTGATGTTTTTTAAGTCTCTGTAAGGAAAATTAATTTAATCTAAAAGTAGATAGTGACCCTAATATTGGTGTGTATATATGTGGTTCTTTTTGTGAGTACATAATCACCCATTATCTGTGATCCGTGAGTGTATATATACTTACATACATAATACATATAAATGTTAAGTGAGAAGATATTATAGTTATTTAAAGTATGGTTTTTTGTTGATAATTGGGCTGGAAGTAAGAACAAAATGAAATAGATTTGAGATCTTTTGTTGTAAATTTTTTTTAAAGATTTTGTTTATTTATTTGACAGAGTTACAGTGAGAGAGAGAGATACAGAGAGAAAGGTCTTCCTTCCTTTGGTTCACTCTCCAAATGGCCGCAACTGCTGGAGCTGCGCCAATCCAAAGCCAGGAGCCAGGTGCTTCCTCCTGGTCTCCCATGCGGGTGCAGGGGACCAAGTACTTGGGCCATCTTCTGGTATCCCAGGCCACAGCAGAGAGCTAGACTGGAAGAGGAGCAACCGGGACTAGAACCCGGCGCCCATATAGGATGCCAGTGCCACAGGCAGAGGATTAACCTAGTGTGCCATGGCGCCGGCCCCATGTTTTAAATCTCTTTAAATTCTGAAAATCTGAGATTTTCCCAACTGTCTTTCTGTGTATGAAATAAAGATATAAAACCTTTTGATTTAGTCTATTTATAAAATTGACTGAATACTTGGACTAGATGTAAAGTAGATAAGAGAAAATGATCATAAAAATAGGTGATAGAACTCTATAAGATCTGTAGACAGCCACCTTAGAAATCATGGTACATGGAAAGTAAATAGAGCTAACCATGTAAGTCTCCTAAGTGAGATGTCTATATGCTGTTTCTCTTTGCTGTGAATCTGCATCTTTCAAAGTGCAATTGATTTTCCTTTTTTTTTTTTTTGCCTCAACTGAATTTTTGTACAGGTGAAATTTAACTTAATCTGTTTTGCATGAGCGTTATAATGTTTAATCTTTCAATTGTCTTTTTCTTTTTTTTTTAAGATTTATTTATTTGAAAGTCAGAGTTACACAGAGAGGAGAAGGAGGGAGGGAGGGAGGGAGGGAGAGAGAGAGAGAGAGAGAGAGGTCTTCTATCCACTGGTTCACTCCTCAATTGGCTGCAAGAGCCAGAGCTGTGCGGATCCGAAGCCAGGAGCCAGCAGCTTCCTTCTGATCTCCCACGTGGGTGTTGGGGCCCAAGGACCTGTACCATCCTCTGCTGCTATCCCAGGCCATAGCAGAGAGCTGGATTCGAAGTGGAACAGCCGGGTCTCGAACCGGCGCCCATATGGGATGCTGGTGCTTCAGGCCAGGGTGTTAACCCACTGTGCCACAGCACCGGCCCCAATTGTCTTTTTCTATTATGTGAATTAAAATGTTCATGATGTATCAAGGTTTGAAAAGAACCAAAATGAATTTCCTTTGAGATTTAGAGAGAAATATAGCAATTTGCATATTTCCCTAAGTTGTATGTAAATCCTCCATTTTGGGAAATTGCCATGTCCCATTCTTTGGATTAATGACTTTCAAATGTTCAAACATTACTGCATGTCTTAACGTTACTTTAAGGTAATTGTTTTCATGATTTTGTTTTCTCTTTTAGGTTAACAGAACCTTCTGGATATTTAACAGATGGCCCAATTAACTATAAGTATAAAACTAAATGTACATGGCTAATTGAAGGCTAGTAAGTATGCAATTTAGGTTAATTTATTTTATTCTGAAATGATAAAGGTGGTGTCATATTAATGCTAAAACTTTAAGGTTAATGCCTTTATAGTTGAATAGTTTAATTACTTATTATTAGAAGTGTTTTTTCATGGAATTTACATCTTAGAGGCATCATGTTTAATGTAAAAAGTGTAGCACACTTTCACTTATGATAATAGATTAGTTTTATATGTATCTCATTTTTGAGTTATATTTCTTTGACATTAAATTGGAAAGTTTTAGCTTGTTTTAAACATCTTATAAAATTTGAATACTCCATATGAAGTATAAAAATATTCCATGCTGAAATTATACCATTAGTTCATACTATTCACTATTTTAGATCTAAGAATATTTTTAAAAGGACATTTTGTTGGAGAGTTACTTATCTATTTCAGAGTATTTTTCAGTAATTAGGGCTATGTTTTTTTATTTTTTATTTATTTATTTATTTTATTTTTTGACAGGCAGAGTGGACAGTGAGAGAGAGACAGAGAGAAAGGTCTTCCTTTGCCATTGGTTCACCCTCCAATGGCTGCCGCGGCCGGCGCGCTGCGGCCGGCGCACTGCGCTGATCTGATGGTAGGAGCCAGGTACTTCTCCTGGTCTCCCATGGGGTGCAGGGCCCAAGGACCTGGGCCATCCACTGCACTCCCGGGCCACAGCGGAGAGTTGGCCTGGAAGAGGGGCAACCGGTACAGAATCTGGTGCCCCGACCGGGACTAGAACCCGGTGTGCCAGCGCCGCAAGCTGGAGGATTAGCCTAGTGAGCCGCGGCGCCGGCCTGGGCTATGTTTTAACATATGAGTAGATGATATGTGAATTGACTCGAATTCTTTTAGAAGAATTTTATGAATTTTTGAGTATATTTGGGAACCCATGTTTTTTGTTATTTAAAATTTTTTAAAAGTTAAAAGCTGTCATTTCTTTGCTGTATATGTGTAGTCTGTTTATTTGTTAAAAATATTGAGACTTTTGATTACAATTTGAAGAAGTTATTAATGTTTCACTGAATTGTAGAAATGAGAATAATAGCTTATTGTGTAGTGAATTTTTAAAGGCAGCTTTATTTAAAAACAATTTCTATTCATTGAAAATGTATTCATTTTAAGTGTTTAGCTAAATAAGCTTTCAATAATATATACAAATCTTTGTAACTTCTCCCTTAATCAATAGAATGGACTATTACCTGTTGGCAAAATTTTTAGAAAATATGCATAATATAACCTGTTAAAATATTTTGAAAGTTACATCTTATTTTTACTTTTCCAGGCCATGGCAGAGAGCTGGATTGGAAGTGAAGCAGCTGGGACTCAAACTGGTGCCCATATGGGATGCCGGCACTGTAGCGGGCTTTAACCCGCTGTACCACAGCGCCGGCCAACTACATATAATTTTAAAAAAATATATATTTATTTATATGAAAGTCAGAAATAGAGATAAAGGGAGAGACACACAGAGAGAATGAGAGATTTTCCATCTGCTGATTCACTCCCCAGATGGCTGTAATGGCTGGTGTTGGACCAGGATGAAGCCAGGGGCTAAGAGCTTCTTCCAGGTCTCCTATGAGGGTGACAGGGGTCCCAATGCTTGGGTTATCTTCTGGTGCTTTCCTAGGGGCATTATCTGGAATAATCATTATCAGCTGAATCAGAAATGGAATAGCTGGCACTGCAGGCAGTGGCTTAACATGGGTGGTGGGGCCCCAAATACTTGGCCCATCTTCTGTTGATTTTTCCAGATCTTTAGCAGGGGGCTGGATTGGAAGAGGAGCAGCCAGGATACAAATCAGTGCCCATATGGGATGTCAATATCAGGTGACAGCTTTACCCATTGTGCCACAATGCTAGCCCCTTTACACGATTTTTAAAAAGGATTTATGTATTTGTTTGAAAAGCAGAGTTATATGGATACAGGGAATCTTCCATCTGCTGATTTACTTTCCAGATGGCTGCAATGGCTGGGCTGAGTTGGGCCAAAACCAGGAGACTAGAACTCCATCCAGGTATCTCACATGGATGGCAGGGACCCAAGCACTTGGGCATCTTCTGCTTTCCTAGGCGCATAAGCAGGGTGTTGGGTTGGAAGAAGAGCGGCTAGTACTCAAATAGGATGCTGGTGTCACAGGCAGCAGCTTCACCTGCTGCACTACAATGCTGGCCCCCTGTATGTGATTTATTCATTTTAAATACAGAGATAAGTGTTGTCATGCAGTGGGTGAAGCCACTGCATCCCATATTGGAATGCCAATTTGAATCCCGGATACTCAGCTTCTGATCTGGCTTCCTGCTAGTGCATTCTGGGAAGCAGCAGATGATGGCTCAAGTGTTTGGGACCCTGCCACCCATGTGGGAGACACTGATGGAGTTCTGGGCTCCTGGCTTCGGCCTGGCCCAGTCCTGGATGTGACCATTGGGTCACCTGGGGGTGACCCAGTGATGGAAGATTGCAAATCTCTCTCACTCTCCCTCTCTCTCACTGTGTCTTTCAAGTAGGTGAAAATAAATAATCCTTAAAAATTGATGTATACTTCAGAATAAATTTAGTGTAGATATTGATGGTTAAATTTCAAAGGTGATTGTAATACTCTGTTGTGTACTGTTGCACCGTGACTGTCAAGGATAGATGCCATAATATAAACACTGATATAGCAGAAATAAGCAAGTAGTTCAGCTTATTGGAAACAGAGATTACTTTATAAATATTCTTTATTCTCAATGTGTTTATTCTCAAAGTGGTTTGAATATGTTTTCAGAAATACCTATTTGGATAGATTAGGGTGAATTCTAGCTGACAAGTAGGCAGATGTATATACTGATATTTTTATAGTTATCTATTTCAATAAAATGAGTTTTTAAAATTCAACACAAAGAGTTAAGTTCTGCTTTGTGTGATGGTGAGGTAGAGAAGGTGTTTCTGTTCTCAAAATATGGAAATTTTAGATGCTTCAAAATATTTTAGTAGTAGTAAAGTAATAAGATTTATTTTAAAATTATATAACTTAAAATGTTAATTAAAATGTTTATGTATATAGAGATTATAAAAATTTTATGATTGGGAGAAAAAATTTTGGACATAGAAATAATTTTGAACATGTGTAGCTTTTGTGTACACCTTACTAACATGATTTTTGGCTATTTATTACATTATTTACTTTTGTTATTTATGTAGTATCTCTTATGTGTTCTGTCATTGTCGGAAATTAACGATAAAAGCGTATTTTTATCATCTAATTTTTAAATTTTGGTTTTCCTTTTTACTATTCATATTGCAAATATCCTGTTTTATCAGGAATTAACTATTATTATTTTTGACAATCATGTAAGACTTGTATTTCCTGCTATCTACTTTAGAGTGAACCCTGAGGGGTTTAGGCACTTATTCTGTGATATTGCTATTGGTTAAAATATATATATATTTTTTGACAGGCAGAGTGGATAGTGAGAGAGAGAGACAGAGAGAAAGGTCTTCCTTTTTGCCGTTGGTTCACCCTCCAATGGCCGCTGCGGCCGGTGTACTGCGGCCGGCGCACTGTGCTGATCTGATGGTAGGAGCCAGGTACTTACCCTGGTCTCCCATGCGGGTGCAGGGCCCAAGCACTTGGGCCATCCTCCACTGCCTTCCCGGGCCACAGCAGAGAGCTGGCCTGGAAGAGGGGCAACTGATACAGAATCTGGTGCCCCGACTGGGACTAGAACCCGGTGTGCCAGCACCGCTAGGTGGAGGATTAGCCTATTGAGCCGTGGCGCCGGCCAGGTTAAAATATTTTTAGAACTTCATTTTTGAGATGTCTGATCTTTATAAAAATGATGCCCTCTATCTAGCCCTGTATCTCTGGATATTTAGAAGATAGAAAATAGAATAGAGCCTCTTGAACAATTTTGTTGTAAAATAACTCATGACGATTTGGTAAGATCTCAGGTTCATATATTCATTTTTAGCAATTTAAGCATCTTCTTGCTGTCATTACTCTATATATTTATGGCCCTTTTAATTGATCATCCTCTAGATGTTTACCTTTTGTTTTTCTAGTAGTTCTAATGTATATTAACAATGATCCATTTAACATTCTTACCAATTATTTTCTGTTATTAAAGGACTCTTTAGTAATATAATTAACAAGATGGAGTTTAGTATATGGCTGACCCTGAATTAGTGACTTTTCATTAGCAATTTTTTTTTTTTTTTTTGCAATTTGAAAGGCAGAGGGAAAGAGAGAGATTTCTTATTTTCTTACTATCTTTTTTTTTTATTTTTTTTTATTCAAGACAGAGTTACAGAGTGAGGTAGAGACAGAGAGAGAGGTCTTCCATCCGCTGGTTCACTCCCTAGATGGCCGCAACAGCCGGAGCTGCGCCGGTCCGAAGCCAGGAGCTTCATCCGGGTTTCCCACATGGGTGCAGGGGCCCAAGGACTTGGGCCATCTTCTACTGCTATCCCAGGCCATAGCAGAGAGCTGGATCGGAAGAGGAGCAGCTGGGACTAGAATCGGCGCCCATATGGGATGCCAGTGCTTCAGTCCAGGGCTTTAACATGCTGCGCCACAGTGCCGGCCCCAGCAATTATTCTTGCTAACATATCCTGAGGGATATGGGAAACTCCTGTTTATTGAATATCCACTTGATGCTAAGCCCTGTGCTAGGTGGTTTAAATGTCATCTAATCCTCAAGAATATTTTATGGAAAAAAGTCCCATTATCAACATCTCACAATTGAGAAAATCAAGATTCAGAGAATTTACTTACTTTTTAAATTTTTTATTTTATTTACTTGAAAGGTGGAGTTACAGAAAGAGAGGGGGAGATGGATAGGAGGGAGAAAGAGAAAGAGAGAAAGAAAGAGAGAGAGAGAGAGAGAGAGAGAAAGAGAGAGAGAGAGAAAGGTAGATCTTCTGTCTGTTGGTTCACTCTCCAAATAGCTGCAATGACCAGGGCTGTCCCAGACCAGAGCCAGGAGTTGGGTCTCATGTAGGACAGGG